CCCCAAAACCCCAAAACCCCAAAACCCCAAAACCCCATTTTCTAAATTTTAATATAATTTCAGGTTTGAATTTGTTATGGAGAAACTTAATAGGAATCACTATGAACTTCTAGGAGTCACAAGAGATGCAGACTCCGATGTTATCAAGAAGGGGTACAGAAAAGCTGCTCTTGAGCATCACCCCGATAAAGGAGGAACTGACGATGCTTTCCAAGCTGTCAAAGAAGCTTATGATGTCCTCTCTGATCCTATTCGTAAAAGAAATTATGACCGAGATTTGAAAAAGTATGGAATGAAAGATGGATTGAAGAAGACCAAATCCTCAACCAATGCAGCAAGCACTAAGAATAATTTTAAGAAGCAATCGACAACTAAGAATTATCAAAGAGAAGAGACAAAGAGTTATCCAAAAGAAGAAACTAAGAGTAAGAAGCCTGAGCCAACTGCCAAACCTAAGCAGGTCCAAATTCCTGATAATTTGAAAACTCTTTCTATTAAAGAGCTTAAGGCATTAATGAAACAACTTAACCTTAAGAGTGATGACTGCTTTGAGAAAAAGGAGATGATAGATAGAGTAGAAGAATACAAGAGTAGAACACAAGGAGGGGGTTCTAAGAAAGCTACTCCTCAGGCTCCTCCAAGATCATCTGCTTCCAAACCTACAAGAACTGCTTCAAATACAAGTACCTCTGCAGGTGCTATGGGTACTGATGAGCCAATAGCCTTCAAAATCCTCAGTGTTGGAAACCAAGAGGTTGGTAAAAGCTGTCTAATCAAACGCTATTGAGAAGGCAGATTTGTTAAAAGGTATATCTCGACCATTGGAATAGACTATGGTGTCAAAAGAATGAACCTCGATGGAGCCAATATTTCAATCAACTTCTTTGATCTTAGTGGTAATGATGATTACAAACTCATCAGAGAGGAATTCTATGAGGATACTCAAGGTGTCCTCATGGTCTATGATGTTGATAATCGAGATAGCTATGTTAATCTAGTCCATTGGGAATCAGAAATGAGACAAAACAGTATCGATCTCAAGAGTCTAGGAGTTGTAGTCTGTGCTAACAAAGTTGATGCTCGTGGAAGAGAAGTATCAACTTCAGAAGGGCAAAAGTGGTGTAAACTCAGAGGATATACATACTTTGAAACATCAGCAAATGATGGAAAGAATGTATCTGAAGCATTTGAGAGTCTCTTCCAAAAAGTGTTGGATAAGTTCCGAACTGCACAAAATAAGTTCGGAGTCTCTTAAGCTAAAAATTATTTCTTCTAATCTGGTCTTCAATATTTTTGTAGCTAATTGGGGTTTTGGGGTTTTGGGGTTTTGGGGTTTTGGGGTTTTGGGG